GTGTCTATTGTCTGTTTACCCCCACCCCCTTATTTTATGTAAGCCGCCCTGAGTCCCCTCAGGGAAAAGGGCAGCCTATAAGTATTAATAAATACCAAAATACCAAATACCTTTACCTAATAAAATGGAACTTTGAGGAATCTCAAGCCTCGGAGTCTTCTTTCGTTGGGGATGTTACTTGGAGTCCTGACAAATAGCAAGGGGAAAAAATGAAAAACAATACACAATACAGAGATACCCTCATTTCAGCTCAATAGTTTGTGAGCTCCACCAGTGGGGACTATCAAGGAGAGGAATCCTTGAACTGTAACGGAGAACATGATGGGAAGGTACACTGAAAATACACATTTTATATTAGGATTCACTAGAACTGGGATCAAAAATAAACCTGAGCAATTTGTAATGCCGTCGTACAGATTTGTCACATGACCGTACTTGGAAGAGGGTGTACGTTTTCCATCATGGAAACTCTGCCCTAGATATAGCTGGGTTCACCGATGCCGAATGCCACAGTGTAAACCAGTGGATACTTAGAAAAGGGAAAGAGATTGGATAGCCTGTGAAGCAGTGGTGGGATGCAAACGGTTTAACAAGTTTAACCTGAGAGACCGCCTCCTGCCAATTACCTCCCAGAGACCTATTAGATCGCACAGATTGGCCTCCTCCAGATTCCATCTGCCGGTCAATGTCGCTGGCGACTCCCCGGGGAAGAGCCTTCTCTGTAGTTGCTCCGGCCCTCTGGAACGATCTCCCCATTGAGATCCGGATCCTTACTACCCTTCCGGCCTTCCGTAAAGCGACCAAGACCTGGCTGTTCCGGCAGGCCTGGGGCTGTTGAATTATCCAGCCCCATCCTAAGTAATGAATGTTGTTGCAATTTTAAATTGTTGTTTTATTTTTATATTCCCCCTCCCTTTTTATTTGTAAGCCGCCCTGAGTCTTCCGAGAGTGGGCAGCATACAAAACTAATAAATAATAATAATAAAAAAATAATAAGTGTGCCAGGGGTGGGTTTCTCACCCCGTTCCAACCGGTTCGGTTGGAACGGGGCCGGTGGCATCCTCATGCACGCGCGCAGTGCATGCATGCGTACTAGCGTCTGTGTGATGCTCCAGCTGCTCCTGGAGGATCGCGCAGGCGCTGTATGCATCCTGCGCATGTGTGGAAGCGCAGAACTTGTCAAAACCGGGTAAGGAGCGCAGGCGGGCGGGTGCGCCCTTCGCTGTTCCCGGAAGTTACTTACTTCCGGGTTCGCTGACCAACCGGTTTGCGGGGACCGCCGCGAACCAATTGAAACCCACCCCTGAAGTGCGCGCTTCGCATGTGCGTGCATGCAGCATTAAAAAAATGACATTTTTAAGCTTCAAAACTTACCTTCTCTGTCAGTGCCTGTGAGTAAAACAACTGACGCAGATGAATCAGCTGAGTTAAAAACCAAGGAAATTTAGGACAGGAAAGTGCAGGGGGTGGGTGGGGCCAAATGTTCACCAGGACTACCAGTTTGCCTGAACCAGTCCGAACTGGCTGAATCCCACCCCTGCTCTGAAGTATGAATATCAGCGGCGAACTAAGCAACCATTTTTAAAGCTTGCTGTGAAAAAATAATATCAAATCAGAACCTCCAAGAGACTTATTTAACTCAGAACCAAGCCCACTCGTTGTCACCAGCGATGAAGTCAGTGCGAACATGACCACTGTTTTTGAAATCAAAATGTCACACTGAGATGCTAAGGAGAAGGACATTTGTCCATCTGTTCGTAAGTTAAGCGAGGGCAGGGCCCACCCATATCCCATCTTTCTTGAAACACTTCTGAAATAACAGCCAGAATATCAGGCTCCAAGAACAAAAGAACGACACATGGAGTTACTTTTCAGTAGGTCATTGGTGTTCCACACCAATTGTCAGATGCAAGGAATCAGGACTGTTCATAATATTGGAACATAGAGGATTTATTCAAGCCAGTGTGCAAGAATATGGTCAAATGAATTCCCACACTAAATTGGCATTGGATAAAGATCTACGGAATTCAGGAGGGCTTGAACTAAGGAGGGATTGTGGAAATACAGCAATTCTGAACTGATGATGTGTTTAACTCCCACCTCCCAGCTCTGCTGACTCCTCTCCTATAAATATAGACAGGATCTTGCCAAAGTAAAGCAACTCTATAATATAGTTGAAAGGGACCTTGTAGGTCATCTAGTCCAACTCCCCTGCCCAAATAAGAGGCCCTGCTCCATGTTTGACAAATGGTTTCTCTTCTTGAAAGCCTCCAGTGATGGAGCTCCCACAATTTCTTTTTTTTTAATCTATTTTTTTATTTTTAAACATAAAAAAACAATATTAAAAAATGATCTCATCCATTACATACAGCATGTCGTTTGGTTACAAGTGTTTTTGCATCCATATTCTCAATTACATTTATAATCACAGATTTTTTCATCTAATATAACTAAATACCTAACTTTCATTGTACAATGTATATTCAATTACAATTAATATTTTTTTTTTTTCAATAAACCTAATTCCCATACAGTCTATTTAATAACAGTATACCTTTATATAATCACAGATCCCAATATGAAAGAGATTTTCCAACCATTTATATTTGTATATCACTGTTTTCCACCAATCAACTATCGAGTATGCTTATGTTCATTATTGTCCTTGTACATCATACATTCAAACAAAGATGTTATTCCTTCATTCAGCTCCCACAATTTCTGAAGGCAACTTCTGTTCCACTGATTGACTGCTCTCATTGTCAGAAAATTTCTCCTTATTTCTATGTTGAATTTCTCCTTGGTCAGTTTCCATCCATTATTCCTTGTCTGGCCTTCAGGTGCCTTGGAAAATAGCTTGACCCCCTCCTTTCTGTGGCAGTCTGTCCAATATTGGAGCACTGCTATCATGTCTCCCCTGGTCCTTCTCTTCACTAGACTAGCCATGCCCAGTTCCTGTAACCATGTATTAGTATTAGTACCTTGCTTGATCTTGATTGTATCCCTCTGTTAATTACAATTTAGGATTGCATTGGCTTTTTTGGCTACCACCGCACGCTGCTGACTCATATTTAACTGGTTGTTCACTAAGACCACGGGTGGGCTGTTACGGGTTTGAGACAGTGGTAGGTTTCAAAAATTGTTCGAACCTACTCTGTGGGTGTGGCCTCCTTTGTGGGAGTGGCTTGCCACCCAT